CCCTCCTGAAAAGTTGATTGGTTTAGACAGCTGTTGGCTGGAGCGGCAAATGAAATGAGGTGTCGGAGTTCGGAGAAAAGAAAAGTTACGGTGGTCCTGTACGCAGTCGGTTCCCAAGCCTTAGGCAGCTTCCCAGGGCTTGGCCCTCGTTCTGATTTAGTCCGTAGAGAGTCAATTTAAGGTCCTAGGTTCTCGAGCCACACTGCCTAGATTCAAACGTCCAAACTGCCACATTTGAGGTGTGTGACGTTGGAAAAATTTTAACCACCCAGAATCTCAGTTTCCTTATCTGTAAAATAGGGCTGATGATAGTACCTCCCTCTGTTTCGTTCCATTGAATCAGCTCCCAACTCATAACAACTCTATGTACAATAGAACGGAACACTGCCTGGTCCTGTGTCATCCTCGCTTGAGTCCATCCTTGCAGCCACTGTGTCAATCCATCTCCTTGAACCTCTTCCTCTTTGTCACTGAGCTTCTACTTTACCAAGCATGCTGTCCTTCTCCAAGGACTGGTCTCTTCAGTCCAAATATGATCAAAGTACATGAGACGAACTCTCATCATGCTTGCTTCTAAGGAGCTTTCTGGCTGTTCTTCCAAAACAAATTTGTTGGTTCATCTGACTGTGGTATAGTCAATATTCCAGGCATGAATTCTTCTTTGGTCTTATTAGTTGTCCAGCTTTCACATGCATATGAGGCAATTGAAAATACCATGGCTTGGGTCAGGTGCACCCCAGTCCTTAAAGTGGTATCTTTGCTTTTTTACACTTTAAAGAGGCCTTTTGTAGCAGATTTGCCCAATGTAAGGATTTCATGAGTGCTGCTTCCACGGATGTTGATTGTGGATCCAAGTAAAATGAAATCCTTGACAACATCATTATTTTCTGCATTGGCATAGTGCCTTAGACGTTTAACTGCTAGCCAGAAAGTTGACAGTTCAAACCCACCAGCCACTCTGTGGAAGGAAGACTGGGCAATCTACTTCCATAACAATTTACCACCTTGGAAACCCAAAGGACATTGCTATGATTGGAATCAACTCAATGGCCCTCAGTTAGCAGTCAAATGCTTTAGGCACTATGCCACAAGAGCACTTTTGTTTTGAGTGAGATACAAATTGTGTAAGTATGGTGAAAGGATACAACCCTGATGCACACCATTCCTGATTTTAAACCATGCAGTATCCCCTAGTTCTGATCAAATGACTGCCTCTTGGTGTGTATACAGGTTCTGCAGGAGCACAATTGTTTTGGAATTCCCATCTTTCATAACCCTATCCATAATTTGTTATGAGCAATAGGGAGCTCTGGTAGCATAGTGGCTAAGACACTTGCCTGCTAACCAGATGGCTGGTGGTTCAAACCCACCAGCCACTCCTCGGAAGGAAGGTTGGGCAATCCTACTTCCGTAGCGATACTGCCTCGGAAACCCAAGGAGGGGTCGCCATGAGTCGGGTTTGACTCGACGGCACATAACAACAACAACAACAACAACAGAGTCAAATGCCTTTGCATAATCAATAAAACACAGGTAAATATCTTTCTGGTATTCTCTGCTTTCATCCAAGATCCATCAGGCATCAACAATAATATCCTTTGTTCCACGTCCTCTTCTGAATCCAGATTGAATTTCTGGCACTTTCTTGTTGATGTACTACCGCAACCGTATTATCTTCAGCAATATTTACTTGTGATGATATTAATGCTATTGTTTGATAACTTCCATATTCTGTTGAATCACCTTTCTTTGGAATGACCACAAAATGGATCTCTTCTAGTTGGTTGGCCAAGTAGCTGTCTTCCACATTTCTTGGCATAAACTCATGAGCACCTCCAGCACTGCATCTGTTTGTTGAAACATCTCAGTGGGTATCCTGTCAATTCTTGGACCCTTGTTTTTCACCAATGCCTTTAGTGCAGCTTAGATTTCTTCCTTCAGTACCATCAATTCTTGATTATATGCTACCTCCTAAAATGGTTAAAGGTCAACAAATTCTTTTTGATACAAAACAAGCAAACAAACAAACACCTCACTGCTATTGAGTTGATTCTGACTCATAGAGACCCCCCATTGGGTTTCCGAGTTGGTAAATCTTTATGGAAGTAGATTGTCCCATCTTCCTTCCATGGAGTGAGTGGCTTGTGGGTTTGAACCGCCAACCTTCTGGTTACTAGTCAAATGCTTTAGGCACTGCACACCAGAGCTCCTTTCTTTTTGGTACAGTGACTGTATATTCCTTCTGTATTCCCTCCTATGGGTTGTGATAAAGATTAAATGAACCAATACATCTAACTTGAAATTGTGCATGTTGTTGTTGTTGTTGTTATGTGCCGTCGAGTCATACCTGACTCATAGCGACCCCTCCTTGGGTTTCCGAGGCAGTATCACTACGGAAGTAGGATTGCCCAACCTTCCTTCCGAGGATACTGAATGAATAAATGAATGAACAGATGCACCTAAGCTTTGCTTCTCACTAAGCTTTGCTTCAGGAACTGCCTCTCTCCCTTTCCAATTTATCTGTCTACATCTGTCCCCTCAGACTTTAAAATCAAGCTATGCCATGGTATTCCTCTTCCCCTAATAAGCTATATGACCTGTGCATCTTTTCTTCCTGCTTGTCCAGTCTGCATTATCTCTCAAAGTCTAACTCAGATACTACTTCTTCTAGGCAGCTACCCACCCCACCTCTCACCCCTGACAGACTCCTCCCATTTTCCCAAATGTCCCCCGATAGCTTCCTCAGTCACAACCTTGGGCCCCCCCTTTCCACTCAGTGTCTGGGTCTGTCTCCTTCAACAAAACAGGACAAGAATCTGACCCATTCATTTAATATTCACTCAGCAAATATTTGTTGAGCAGGTATGATAGGCTAGGCCACCACTGTCCACCCCCAGCCCCCGGCCCCCTGCTCCACCAAAGGAGCAAAATCCCTGTCCTCACAGAACTCAGATTTTAATGAATTGATGTCAAACATAAACAAAATAAATAAATTCATCTCTGTGTCCCAGCATCACCTTGTCTGGAAGAAAAGAATAGATTTGAAGGTTCCATCTGGGAATGAGATTGTAGGAAAATGACTGAGACAGTCAGGGGCAAGTAGAGACCCCCACCTGGTCCCTGAGAACAGGGAGATGTAGGAAGACACTAAAGTCAGGGCGACCCTTAACTGTGGATCTGGGTGTCAGAGCCCAGACAGACCCAAATGAAGTTGTTGGTCTGCCTCTGGGTTTAGGGAAGGGAGCAGAGGCCTCAGGTCTGCAAGATGAGCTGCGGGAGGGAGGGACGCCAGGGTGAACCGGGGCCCTGCAGGCTTCTCTAATTTCCTTTCTCTTTCTGCGGCTCCTTCTTCCCTCCATGCAGGGCCTGTGGTGCCCTGAACGCAAAGATAAGGAGTTAGATTCTATGCCACAAAAAGCTAGTGTTTTTGAGCAAGGGAGGCCCACAAACAGATAGGATAATGAAAGCCCTGGCTTTCCCTTATAGTGCCTAGAACTGAGCCTCTATTTTTTCATTTGCCACGTTCTTTTTCTCTCCCCCACATTAGTAGAAAATGGGAGCGCCCTCTCATAGCCACCCCCTTCGGGTATTCAAGAATGGAGTCGCCCACTCGCTCCCCTCCCCCCACCACGTGAATGGGGCACACCCCCCTTACAGTAGATGGTTTTCTCGATCCACCCCCCGCAAATGGTTCCTTCCCACAAGGAAGGGCACCAGATTTTCCCCGCCCACTCTCGGCTTCTGCGGTGGCTTGCACTTCCCCTGAGGCCAGTGAGGTGGTTTCTCCCTCCTCCCCCCGCCCCAGGTTCTGCATGGTCTCGCCTCCACGCCGCCCGCCAGCCCCTGGGTGCGCTAGCCGCGGCAGCGACCGAAAAGTGATGGCCCGGGCGGGAAACGCCAGCGTCGGTCGAGCTCACTTGCAGGGCCGCCGTAGGGGAATCGAGAGCTCTCAATTCCACCCCTCCTCTTAAGCGAAGTTCCCGCCCCTGCAGAAGAGGCGGTGCCCTGGGATCGGCTATAGCCCTCCGCTAGAGTGCAGGAGGCGGGACGGTCCATTGTTGTCTGAGGGTGGGGGTGGGCGTGGCGCTGCCACCACCTCCGGGAGTGCTCCTGGGCCGACCTTGTTCGCACGTCCTGCTGGAGCTGCGGCGCCAAGATGAGCGCAGAGGAGAACCCGGCCAGCAAGCCCACACCGGTGCAGGACGTGCAGGGCGACGGGCGCTGGATGTCCCTGGTGAGCGACCTCGCCCCGCGATACTATGGGGTTCTGGGGTTGGAGGCCCCAGAAAGGAGCAGGCTCGTGCAGCTCACACTCCACAATTAGGAAACTGAAGACAGTTGGGGTAGTGCTGCCTAAGGAAGCAGGGGTAGGGGTGGGGGGAGGCGGGTCCAGGGGCGCGCTTGCTATTGACAACCCTCGGGGGTCCTCGTAGCACCATCGGTTTGTGGCGGACAGCAAAGATAAGGAACCCGAAGTCGTCTTCATCGGGGACTCCTTGGTCCAGCTAATGCACCAGTGCGAGGTGAGGCCCGTCCCCTATCTGCCCCACTTATGCGTTGTGCCCTCACTGATACACCTGGACTAGAGCCCAGGCCAGGTGGGGTGTGGGGTGCCCGAGATGGCCTCAGGTAGCGCCAGACACCGAGAATGACGGTGTAAGGTGTGCAGCATTCTACAGAGAAGCTAATGTGTTCTCTGGCTTTGTCACCTTGCGCTGTTTAGCGTGAGATTTAGAACAAGGCTTTCCTGCAAGAAGATTGCCTATGGTGAGGCTCTTTACTGTTTGCTTAAAGTAGTGCACAGCTCTGATGAATCTCCACCAAGCTAGGCTCAATTAAAGTGGCTTTCCACAAAGCGAAGGTCAACTGTAATAGCGCTACAGAAAGCCAGGTTTAATTGTGCTATCTTTCCACTAAGCGAGGTTCAACTATAATAGCTTTCCACAAAGCGGGTTCAACTGTAATACTGTTGGTTCAACGTAGGCTCAAGCAGAATGGGTTTTCACAAAGTGAATCTTGAACTTAAGGGGTTTGGTGAAAGAGAAACTTTAATAGGTTTCCACAAAGTGAGGTTCCGCCATAAGGGGGTTTGCTTAAGGTGAGATTTAACCAGTTACCATGAGGCAGGGCTGTCCCGTAATGGTGATGGGTCAACACCTGGACAGACGGTGGTAGTCCATGCTGACTGACAGTACCCCTCTGCCCACACCACTTCATGCCCACAGATCTGGCGAGAGCTCTTCTCTCCCCTGCACGCACTTAACTTTGGCATTGGTGGTGACAGCACGCAGCACGTGTTGTGGAGGCTGGAGAACGGGGAGCTTGAACACATCCGGCCCAAGGTAAGTGGGGTTTGGGTGGGGAGCTAGAGCATCCTTAGCCTGTCCCCTTTTTCCATGGCCTCATGCCGCCTTTTTCCGCAGATTGTGGTGGTCTGGGTGGGCACCAACAACCACGGGCACACGGCAGAGCAGGTGACTGGCGGCATCAAGGCCATCGTGCAACTGGTGAACCAGCGGCAGCCCCAGGCTCGGGTTGTGGTGCTGGTGAGAGGCCGGGCGGGTGGGGAAGGAAGTAGGGTAATGGGCTGGGACCCCCTTAGATGTAATTACAGCTGATGTCGTACCGGGCAGCTTGGCACAGAGCACCGGCTTGCACGCAGAACCTCATGGTAAAGTTTGCTACCCCCATCAGAGCGTTGTGTATGACGACAGATTCAGGGACCAATTAGCCCCCTTTTGCCCAAGGAACTGCTGGAGATGAAAAACGTAGCAGACCACTTGAATAGCTGAAAGTTGTCACCACTTGCTGGGGTGAACCTAGACTCCATCATGTATAGTAGGCGCAGTTTCCTCCTTGGCAAGAGAACAGCGAAATGTCACCATGATGAGTGGTACTTGGAAAGAAGCGGGCACCCAGGAAGCTCTTGCTGAATGAGGTGGGGCCAGGACATATCAGGAAGTACCTCCCCACCTCCTACTTTCCCAACCCTAGGGGAGTCTGTAGCTGGGCACTTCCTGGTGGGGAGCAGGGAAGAGTTGGCACGCAGAGCAGGCTACCCAGATGCTGGTAGGATGTCTTCTTAGAACCCCTGGTGCCCCTTCTCAGGGCCTGCTCCCACGGGGCCAGCACCCCAACCCGCTTCGGGAGAAGAACCAACGGGTGAATGAGCTGGTGCGGGCAGCATTGGCTGACCACCCACGGGCCCACTTCCTGGATGCCGACCCTGGTTTTGTGCACTCGGACGGCACCATAAGCCACCATGACATGTATGATTACCTGCATCTGAGCCGCCTCGGCTACACACCGGTCTGTCGGGTCCTTCACTCTTTGCTTCTACGTCTGCTGGCCCAAGACCAGGGCCAGGGCGTCCCCATGCTGGAGCCCACACTCTAAACCACCTGCTTCCCACACATTAAATCCTCACTCCTCAGACTCCCGCCTCCTGTTCTGTGGCTGAGCCCATCTAGGGACCCCTGATCCTCAACTCTGATCTCTGTGACCCTGCAGTGAGGCAGCATCACTAAACCGCCCTGTGGGCATTCTAGTTGTTGCAAAGTCAGATGGCTTTTCTTAATCACCTGCTCCAGGCATGTGCTACCTATCAGTGACACATGAGGTGAAGCCAGTCTGCCAGCACTGCCCTACAGGGAGCCCCAGTGGAGTAGTAGCTAAAGCATTCAGCTACTAACCAAGAGGTCGGCTGTTTGAACCCACCAGCTTCTCAGTGGGAGAAAGATGATGCAGTCTGCTTCCAGAAAGACTGACAGCCTCGGAAACCCTGTGGGACAGTTTTGACCACAGTGAGTGGGTGGGTGGGGTGCTACAAGATCAAGTTCAAGCAGTCTCATTGCGTATGGTTGGAACTCCTGATGTTCTGGCCCTTGCTTAGATGCCACTTCCCTGGGAGGCTTCCTGACACTCACAACTCACCAGTTATTACTCCACATAGGGTATGAGTTGCCTGTGTCCTCAGGTAGGAGACAGACAGGCACTGTGTCTGCAGCCTGAGAGTGGGAGGGGTGTAATCCAGGAGCCACGCTCCTTGTGGCCTGGTTGCAGTGCCATCTAAGGCCACATGAGGGCAGTAGGGGTCACAGCCCAGTCCGTTATGGACTGGCTTCCCCACCCCTCCCAGTGCCACCTCTTCGCTAGGACTCATCAAAGCCCTTTAGTGGAAGATTCCTGGGCCTGTAACTGTCAGCTGCCTTCCCTGGAAGGAGTCCCTGTGTAAACAGTTAGCATCCTAACCTGGAAGTTAGAGAGGCAAATCTAGTCAGACACCTCGGAAGGAAGGCCTGGTGATTGACTTCCAGGAAAGTCAAGCACTGGAGACCCTGTGGAGCACAGGTGTGCCCTTGACAGACAGAGACGCAGACACACAGGCCCAGTGACCGAGTCTTCAGCGACCTGATAGCAATTAGTGGCCTTCCTTGGCGTATCTCGAGCCTTCCCCAAGGTAATGGGTGGCTCAGAAAGGCACCGTGGGACTCTCCCTGAGCACTTCTGAGATCAGCGCTCCCAGGCTGAAGGGGTGGGCTCCACAGACCCCCCGCTGGTGTTTGGGGGAGGGGCACAGCTTGTCCTGCCCCATGCTTCATGGAGTGGTGCTGACAGCCACCTGGGACCAGGACTGGCACAAGCACCCCTCCCCTCTTTAAAGTAGCAGCCACACAGGTGTGTTAAACAGCTTTAATCTCGGTCATCGCGGCTTCGGCACAGTAAGAAATATTGCACATGATCAACATGTTTTGTTCTGGGGTGGGGGGAGGGTATAGGGGGGTCACCTTCTTAGAAAGTACAACCCAAGTTGGGAAGGCAGAGGGGGTGGGGAGAGAACCCTCCCCACGCCTGTGGCAAAGTGCAGGTCCCCCACCCCCGAACTAACCTGAGTCCAGCCCCTCTGGGGAAAAAAGGGGTGCATGAACTCCCCCTATTCCACAGGTGCCTCCCTGTGGCCAAAGGCCCACACTACCCTCCAGCGTGCAGCCCTCACACGAGCCATTTTGCATAAAGTACAAGTGAAAAAGGTCTGAAGGTCACACACTCCAGGTTCTGTACAGGGGCTCGATGTGGGGAGACTGCCCCTGCTTCCCCTCAGCCGCCCCCCACCACAGGGAGGGAGCTGGGGGGGAGGGGATATATACAAGAGGAGCAGGCCTCATTCCGCCCCAAACGGTCAAGGACGAAATGGCTTTACTGGGGGGCAGGATGGCTACCTGCCCCCCCGATTCCTGCCACCTACATACTGTCCATGTCCTGAGGGGGCCATTGTGGGTCCAGGGATCTTCTCAGGGGTCCCTCACCTGCCTGTGGCAGCTGTGGAGGGACCCGGAGGTGGGGGGGAGACCTGGGGGACACCCTCCCAGCCAGGCTGCCCGGGCCCAGGCTCTGGGGGTGGAGGCAGTGGTGGGGCAGCTGGGGCCGTGCCAGAGTCCGAGCCAGGGGAGGTGGGGTCAGGGCCCCCAGCGGGGCTGGGCGTGGGGGCAGGGGCAGCAGCGGTGCCAGCGGGGGGCGGTCCAGGGACGGGGGTCTCAGCGCCCGGGGGCTGCTCCGTGGGCGTGGCTGCCTGCATGATCTTCTGCCGCACCTCGCGGATCTTCAGCTGCAGACAAACCTTGGAGGGGAAGATGTCGGCGTAGCGGGCCTGGAAGGCGGCTGTGGCCTGGGCTGGGGACAGAGGTGAGGGGTTGGGGCGGGCAGGCTGAGGTGTGCAGGCAGGGCCCACCCACGTGCTTCTGCTGGGCTGGGTGCCCGGCCCCAGATGGGCTCACCTGAGGGGAAGAATCCATGGTCCTGGAAGAGCTGCATGACCAGGGCCCGGCGCTGGTCCAGGGTGCGCCGCAGCGACGAGTACGGCACCTTCTCGTACTCCAGCTCCCCGAGGACATCCTCGGCTTCTGTACCTGGGAGCAGGGCAGGAGTGGGCCCAGGTCAAGGCTACCGCAGCAGCCCGAGCCTCCCTGACACCATGGGAGCACCCTCGCCCTCGCTGAAGTCCGTTTGAAGCAAGGCAAAGGAAAGGGAATGCACTGGAAGTCCCACTCTCCCCGACACCCACCCAGCCCTCCCCCTGCACCCCTTTCCCGTCCTCTGGGCCCCCACAGCTCTGCCTGCGTAGCTCCTGCACCTGTCCGGTCAAAGGTGAAGATGTCTCCCTCACACTTGGCGCTCTTGGGAGTGTTGGGCTCAGAGCTGCAGCTGGATCGCCGCCTCATCTTGCGCTTGGGCGAGGTGGGGTCCTCGGGTGCTGAGTCCAGGTCTGGCCAGACAGAAGCAGGCTCAGTGGAGGCGGCCCCCACGTGTGCCCCACCAAACCTGGATGACCAGCACTCGCCTACCGGTGGAGTTCTTCCTCTTCTTGCGGTAGGAGCCCAGGATGGCCCGGGGCGAGGTGGCCAGAGACTGCAGGGTGGGGGAGGGCAGCACCTCCTCAGGCCGAAATTCAGGGAGCTCAGCGAACCGCTCTTCGAAGTCCACCTCCGACAGGACCCTGCTGGAGAGCTGGCAGGGTCACCCCCCCTGCCCCGGCTGGCAGCTGCCCACTCGCCCACCAGCCCCACGCACTCCACCAAGGCCCCTGGTCCATGCTCACTTGTCCACAGAGTCGAAGGTCTTCTTCAGGGGTGGGGGTCGCACCTTCACCTTCTTGCCAGCACTAGCCCCCTCCTTCCGTTCGGGGGTATCCCCGGCCGCCCTCCCACTGCTGCCCTCACTGCCGCTGCCGCTGCCACCAGGAGCCGGAGCTGGGGCTGGGCTGGGAGGGGTGGGAGGCTCCCCACGGCTCTCCAGGCCCAGCCCGGGGACACGCCAGTCTGAAGATGAGCTGGGAAATTTGCTGGCCTGAGTGGGGACGGGCAGGGAGACAGAGGACACTTGATTCAGATGCACCAGGACAAGCAGGTGGGCCAAGGTACAGCCAGAAACAGATGGATGCTGACTCAGCTAGACCCGTGCTTCGTGAGAAAGACCCAATCGCACGGGCTTGAGAAGGCCGGAAAGGGGACTCAGATACAAAGGGCTATAGGTAGCACAGATGTGCAAGAGGGACAGCAGGGAAAAGGCCTTTAACCCCAGAGACACACAAGGGCATGTTTGGACAGGTGAGCAGGGAAAAAGAGCAGAAGAGAAGGCGAAGACTTCGACCCCAAGTGGGAGCCTACTCCCCCCAACGGCCCGCCATGTTCTCACCATGGCCTCGGGGCCCTTGGCGCTGGTCCGCTCCTCAGCAGGTGTGGGTGGTGGAGGGCTACTCCGGGCCGTGGGAGCCCAAGTCTCTGGGGGTGGTGGAGGGGCTGGAGTTGTCGGCTGCCCCTCAAGCTCAGACTCAGGGGCAGCTGGCTCACGGGCTGGTCCAGGATCCAAGGGCTGCCGGGGTGCAGGGCCAGGCCGCCCAGGGGCACCTGCTTCGAAGGAGCCCACGGGAATGCTGGCGATGGCCGCCTTCACTTTCTGAGGGGCCTTGGGGGTTGGCCGCTGGGCCTTGGGGGCCACTAAGCTATAGGTCATGGAGCCTGCTGGGGGAAGAAGCAACCTGTGAACCAAGCCTGACCAGAACCCCTCCCTTGGGTGCCCCAACTCCCCTACCCTGGGCTGGCCAACACCTACCTGTGGCACTAGGAAAGGGGCTGGTGGGGGCTGGGGTAGCAGTGGCAGGGGCCGGTGGGCCCTTGGGCAGGATGGCGGCAGCAGGGGGGGTAGTGCTGGTGGCCACGGTGTAGACCAAGCCAGGGGGGGCCTGGGACGGCTGGGCCAGGGGTGCTGAGGAGGTGGGCGCCGGGCTGCCAGGGTAAAAGGCTGTGATGACGGGACCTCCAGAGGCTGCGCAGGCAGGAGGCAACTGGGGGCTGGGCACAGGCGACACGCCCACCTGGCCAGGAGCCAGCAGTGGGGTTTGGCCTGCTGTAAGGGAAAGGGAAGGGACCAAGAGTCAGGGCCTAGACTGCCCCAGCCCTACCCTGGGTCCCCAGCACTGCCTGCCAGGCTGCCCCTCACCTGAGAGCAGGGGCTGCACGAAGGCGGGGCCACTGGGCCCCAGTGAAGTGAAGCCTAGGGCTACAGAACTCGTGGGCCCATACGAGGTGACAGTTCCAGCCTGGCTGGATGCAGGACTGGTGCCCAGGGGCAGCGCATGCCCACCTGCGGACTGCACGTAGGTGATTCTGCCACAGGGAGAAGAAAGGGGAGGAGTGAGGTGAGCCGGCCCCATCCAACCCCTTCTCTGGATTGGCTTCTGGGGGGACAAGCTCAACTGTGTACCTGGTGGAGGAGGGCAGCAGGACCTTCTGGGGCTGAGAGGTGGGTCCAGGTAGCGTGGCTGGGCTCAGGGGTGGCACCAGGCCACTGGGTGTGCTCACGGGCACCGGGGTCAGCTGGATAATCTGTGGGCCAGAGTACCCACAGGTGGGAGTGAGCCATGACCCTGAGATGGGGCAGGGGAGGACCAAGACCTAGCGGGCGGCTCTAAGCAAGGTCAGGAAATGCAGGATTTGGGACCAGAACAGGATGCAAAAAAACAAAAAAGAGAACAGCAAAGGTGGGGGGACAAGACAGAAAGGGCACAAAATACAGGCACCAAAGACAATCAGGGAAGAAAAAGGGCTTGCACAGAACCATCCAGGAAGACAAAGTCTCAGACACAGAGGCAGAAGTGAAGAAAAAGAGACAGTTCAATGAAGACCCAACACGAGAGATATGGAAGCCACGTGAACACACACCCAGAAGGGGCAGGAGGGGAAGGCGGAGACCTAGCTTGTCCTCACCTTGCTGGGTGGCTGGGCGCCATTCTGCACGGGGACGGAGAAGGGTGGGCTCACCAAGGGCAGGGGCTGGGCGGCCCCTCCCCCCCGCACTGACATGCCAGGGGCCGCAAGGGGCACGAGGACCTTCCCAGGCAGCAACTGGGCAGAGCCCCCTGGGGGTGGGGCCTGCACGGGAGACACCGACTGGGCTACAAGTTAGGAGACAAGCAGGAAAGGTTACCAGGAGGCAGAATAGGACTCTGGCCATTCTTGTATTGCCCAGCTCAGGCCTCACCTTTGGGGGGCAGGTTAGAAGGTACGGACTGCAGGATGGGGATGCCAGGAGTGGGTGCGGTGGCGGCCAGGACCTTGCCGTTGGTGGAAGTGCCCGGCGGGAGGGTGAAACGGATGCTGGTGGTGGGTGCAGGGGCGCTGGGAGCTGCTGCCTTGGTGCCAGGGGCCGCTGCTGGGGCAGGCGCCACCTGAAGCTGCTGAGGCAGCGTGGGCAGGATGTACTGCACCTGGGTGATCCCCCCAGCCTTGCCAAGGGCACCTGGCTGCAGGATGCCCAGGGGCACTGGCCCGTTGGGGCCACTCCCAGCACCTGTTCCTGAGCCTGGAGCAGCCCCACTGCCAGGGGCCCCCTGGGCAATGAACTGGACAGCCGGGGGTGCAGGGGCCCCATAGCCTGGGGTGCCCACCAGTAGGTTGGTGACAGTGGCAGGTGCCTTTCCCACAGTGCCCAGCAGGGGCCCAGCCACCAAATGTGGGGCTGGTGAGGTGGCAGCTGCTGACTTCTTGTCCGAATAGACTAAGCTGACGCCCAGTGGGGAGCCCCCAGGGGCCCGGGTTCCAGTGCCTGTCTCAGTCCTGGCACCTGTGGCATCATGTGGCGATGCCTCTGCCCGGCTGGAGGTAGGGAAGGGCTTAGAGGCAATGGGCACAGGAGTGCTGCTGACAGGCCGCACCACGTTGGTGACCATGGTGGCAGCCGGGCGGGACAGGGGGGCAGCTGGGGCCCCGTAGGCCAGCGATGGGGCTGGGGCCGAGGGCATGCGGGCTCTGCTGCCCTCCCGGTCCTCCTTGTTTGGGGGCAAGACCAGTGTCTGCAAGATGCTCCCTCCCCCACTGGGAGGTGCCGCAATGACGGAGGGGCCTGGTGGCTCCAGGCCCCCCACACTTTCAGGTCTCTTGCGTCGAAAGGTGGCAAGATCTGTTGGTAGGAACCGGGTAGCCTTTGAAGGTGTCCCTGGGCCCCCAGCCCCCGGGGGCGGGGGCCGTAACGGGCCTGCTGTGCTGCCCTGCCCTGCCTCCTGGGCCTTGAAGGTTCCCGAGCCCAGCGAAAAGGTGGTGGCTGAAGAAGGTGAGGCAGAGGCAGGCGAGGAGGACGAGGATGGGGTGGGGCCGTAGCCCTTGCTGAAGGCTGCAGGTGGATCCGGGGGCCCAGGAGGCTCAGGGTCCAGGGGCGGACGGCAGTGGGTGAAGGAGGAGCGGATCACAGGCGAGAACACCTTCCGGCCAAAGCCCTGGGTAGAAGAAGAGGGTCCCACCATGTCAGGGTGCTCAGGCACTTGGGTAGCCACTCCCTACCTACCTCCACCCGCCCATCAGCCAGGTCAGCCAAGGCCTGCACCCCTGTCAGCTGGGACCCGACGCCCACAGGACAAGCAGCTTGCCCTCTCTGGGCCTCAGTCGCCCCCACAAGAGGAAAAGCTCGTCCCCGCTGCTGGAAGCGAGCTCGCCAAGACAGCGCCACGCCCCAGCCCCTCACCTTGCTGCCCTCGGGGTCCTCCCCAGAGCTGTCTCCGCTCTCGCTGTCAGTCACCCGCTCCTTGCACTTGAGATCAATGTCAGTGGTGCTAAAGCCATCATCAGCTGGGGGCACGGGGGAACCGTGTCAGCAAAGGGGCAGGTGCAGGGCAGCCCCAGAGGAACAGTCTGGAGCCAGGGTTCTGGCCTCAGCTCTGCCCCAAGTGGCAGGGAGTGTTGTCCAGGGACCCTATTGCTCAGCCCAAGGCGAACTCCCTGCCTAACAAGGGTCAGAGCATCTAACACTGTGCCTAACGGTCTGGTCAGGCCTGTGTCCTCTGAGTTTCCTGCCTGGCTGGGGCCTCCCAAGAGCAGGGCTGGGTTTACTTGAAAGGGCCTGAACCGAACCCATGCAAGTGCAAACAAACGTGAAAGGAAAAAGAAGGGGCGTGGGAACCCAGACAAAATCTCCACACACCCCCCCCTCAGGCTTCACCAAAGCCCCTGGGCAGGCTTCTGAGCCCTGCTCTGCTCACCAATGACATCATCATCTCCTTCTTCCTCACAGATCACCATGCGCTCCTCATCACTGGTCATATCCTCGCTGGCCGCCCGCTGGGAACGAGAGGCTCGGGTGGGCAGCAGTGGGGGCCGCCCACTGGCCGCCAGGCCACCTCCCTCGCCAGGTGCTGCAAAGGGGCCTGGAGCCCCATACTGGGTGGTGGGCTTTGGGCCAGAGTAGGACGCTGGGCCAGACACCATCTGCAGGGCAGGAGGCAGGGAGGGCTCAGCCAGGGCTGCCACCTTGGGCAGACTTCTCTGCACCGCCCAGGGGTGTACAGCGCAGACCTGAGTCAGCTCCTGCAGTGCCTGGCTGTCTGCCTCCCCGCCGTCCAGGCTGTGGACCCCACTGTGGGAGAAGGCACGGGGCCGGGCTGAGCCAGGGCCCCCAACTGTGTGTAGCCGCTCTGCCCCACAGGAGCCGCTGCCCGGGGCCTTGGTGTCTGAGCTCAAGAGCGTCTGGGCTGCCACGGACAGGAGCTCCGACGACACTGTAGAGCGAAGGGCAGAGAGAAGAATCACAGGGGCCGGGCCTCTCCCTAGCACTGCACTGGTCGAGGGGGCCACAGGTATTTCTAGCACTGGGAGAACAGCAGGCTGGCACTCCTGGCTCACCTGCTGGGAAAGACTCCACCCACCAACCCAGCACCTCCTCCCTGCTGGGGACTGCCCTCTGGGGCAGCAGGAAGCAAGTCCACTTCTCAAGGGAAGGTAGCCCTCCCGAGAGTGTGAGAGCCTGGAAGTAGGTTGTGTGGCAATAGGTATCTGGGCACTGGCCCGTCAGTCTCAGAGTCCCCACCTCAGACGGAAAGGAACACTCCTACCTTAATCAAGTTGTAGAACCATACCCCTAAAATCACTTCAGCAAAGTACCCCAGAACAGTGCTGAGCACATCAGATACCCTCAAAAGATAGAAGTGGCCCATCAGGAGTGTTATTAGCTACAGTGATTCCAACTACAGTGTTGGGAGCTGAACTTGACCTCTCTGTGCCCGAGTGACCTTATCTGGGAAAGAGGATGTGGCTGTCACTACTAGAGATTACACACTCCTTGAGGCCCTGGCACCTGCCATGTACTAAGTGCTCCATAAATTGGCAGCTAGTGATGTGACTGCCATTTGGGAATTTTATCTGCCTGGAGCTCCTAGCCTCCTTCATGTGAAAAAATGGCCAGTTTCTTTGTGGTCAGAATCATCAGATAACAGCCACTGGGCAGAGAGAAGCAGCCAGTGCAGGGGTGAACGAGGGAGGGGGAGCTGGTGGCTCTTGGGGAGGGGGTGGTGGGGCAGCAGAGTAGGGGCTGGTCAGCTAACCCCCAGGGGCGGCGGCCGTGCCCGTCTCCGACATGCTCCGCTCCCGGGTCTCCTTGTGCCCTCCGGCCAGCCCCAGGCTTGTGGGCTTGGCCTCCGAGCTGGACTTCTTCCGGTCCTTGTTGCACCATTTCCAGTCCGGGTGGGCCTTGAAGTGGGCCTCCTTCACCTGGCAGAAGAGGGCAGGGTGACGGTTCTCACCCTCACTCCACCAGAGTGGAGCCAGGGCAGCCCGGGGCACGATGAGGCGGGGGTGCGCGGTACCTGGAAGGCCAGGTCGTGGTACTTCTGCTTCTCCTTAGGCCCCAGGGCGTACCACCACTCGCCCAGTATCTTGCTGACGGTGCGGTTGTCCTGGTTGGGGTGACGCTGGTGGACCAGGGCCCGGTGCCGCTTGCTGAAGATCATGAAGGCGTTCATGGGCCGCCGGATATGATCCTTCTCCCGCTGTGGTAGAGACAGCCCCAAGATGACGGGATGGTTAGGGCCAAGGACACAGCCTCGGGGAGGGGCCCAGGGTGAGCAGAGGACAGTTAGGGATGCGGTACCTTGTTGGGGCTGCGTCCGTCCTTCTCAGAAGATGAGTCCCGTTCTTTGGGCAGGGCACTGAGGGACTGGGTCCGGCGTTTCCCAGGTGGTAGAGGCAACTGGATCTCAGGAGACATGATGGAGAGAAAGCTGTGGTGGGGGAGGCAGGGGCAGTGAGGACTACGTCTCTGGCCGCCTCACCACCCCCAGTCCCAGGCCTCAGTATACTCACGCGTCATCATGATCACTCTCCGTCTCACTGTCCAACCGCGACTCTCCTGGAGGGCCAGGGGCCTCCTCTTCAGTAGTGGGAGGGGGACCTTTGCCAGCTTCCACCACCCCCAGATTGTGTGGGGGTCCGGGCCCTGGGCTCTCAGGGCATGTGGCTGCAGGGGGCCGCCCAGGGTCAGTACTTCCTGTCCCGCTGGGTGGCTGCTCATGAGCGATAGCTGCCGACTCGGCAGGTTCTGGGGACAAAGAGGTGGGTCAGAGACGTGGAACCCCCTGGACCCCCAGACCTCCTCCACATACCTTCCCATGGGCCCCCAGCTCTCACCTTTGCTCTGGTTGGAGGCCACTGGGTGGCTGGCAGGTTGCTGGGCCTCACTCGGCTGCACTGAGGGGTCAGGCTGGCTAGGAGCCAGGAAGGGCACTAAGGAGTGCCAAGGGAACACAGCTACGGAGCGAGGTTCCACGTTCGTCCACACTGTGGGAAGGAGCCAGGTGAGCTGGGCAGCAGGCACGTTTGGCCTTGACCCCCACCTCGAGCGCTACCCCTCCCTCAAGGACGTGGCTCCACCCCTTCTTCATACCCTTTCCCCAATCCCAAAGCCTCTTGGGCACATCCACGTAACATTACTTGAGAAAACCTCCTCCCCCTCAAAGGTTTCTAGGTTTATAAAAAAGAAAAGAGAAAAAACAGGGAAGAGAGATAGTACTCACACCCCATCCCCCGCCAGCCCTGCCACAAGGGACCAGGCCAGAGGAACGACCAGCTCCTGCCACAAACCAGGTCATGCTTGGCTGCCAGCCCACACTCCCAAGGCCCCAAGACCTCAGCCGTGCTGGGGAACCGCCCCCCGCCCGGCTGTGCCACATCCCCAGCCATCTCTCTCTCCCCAGCTGTCAGTCCCTCACCTTGACCTCGAACTGCCACCCCCCTCCTTTTCCCTTCCTCCAGGCAGATAGCCTTGTCTCCTCCCCGAATCTCTACCCTTTACCCATAAGGTATGGGAGTCTCGGGTCTTTCTCCTTGCCTCCTTCCGTCTACCACAGACCCCAGGGACTCGGACCTACCATAGCTTCCTGGGCTGAACACAGGTGGCTTCAGCATCCCCCACCAAAGAAAATCTACCAGCCCCGACGAGGCCTCCCAGCCTTCCTCCCGCTAAACCTCTGAGCTTATCTTTAGCCTAACCCTGGTCCTGCCCCCTTGCCCAGAAAGGAGGGAGGGTGTGGTAACCTCCCCAGAAGACAAGGCACAGACAATGGAACAGCACACAGAACGTTACAAGTCTCAGCTCAAGAAACACGAAAGTGCCAGGTGTTTCCTTAAGAATACACACAACAAGGTACTGCCCTCGCCGTGGGGGTCAGCGCCCGGGGTCTCACCTTCAGCCTCAGAAGCTGAATGGTTGAAGGGAAAGCCCTGGGACCCACCCTGGCTGGGCTCCTGCGACAAGCCTTGGCCAGGAGCAGGCTTCCCCTCTCAGTGTACGGCTCCTGGGGGAAGTGGAACCAGCAGAGGAGGCCCCTGCTAAGGGGACCATGATGGGCAGGAGGGAAACGCCCTAGCTCTGGTCTCCATCACTCCAGGCCTCCCCCCTGCTCCAGATCAACCTGACCCGGGGTGACCCTTCCCTAGGCTTTCAGAAGCCTGGGCTGAGGGGGCTCTGTGTGAGGCACTGGCCTCCAGACCTGACTCTCAGAGGGGCTCACAAAGGATAAAGCAGGTATCAAAGAAATGGAAGAAAAATAAGGAACCCAGTCCTGGAAGGAGCTCAAGACCCTATGCCAACCCCATCCCCTAACCCTGGGGCACAAGAGACCCAAAAGCCTGTTGAGCCCTCAAATCCCATAAAAGCGCCCAGGGACTGCCTGTTGGGCCCACAAACCCTTAACAGCGGCCAGGGACTGGGACTTGTGCTTCTGTTCACAAAGATCTCTCTCATCAGGGTGTTCTCATCTTCTGGGGGGACAGGGAAGGAGGAGCCGGGCACCCAGCTGACAACACAGGGGCAGTTCTCTGGACCTGCCCCTTGCCCTCTCCAGCGAACTACCCTCCAAGCTCCTCCAGTCTCTCCCTGTCTTCTGCAAAGCACACCTCACCATCACTCTGTTCTGAACAAACCGGGACTCACTTGCTTCCCAGCCCTGTCCTTAGCCCCATTACTCAAAAGCAGCCCCTTACCCGGCTCCATTCCATGCCTAGCAAGTCTCAGGCGGCTCCAAGCCCCACCCAGGCCCCCGGAAAGCCAGTCACTTCGCACCTCGAACCTTCTTACAACGAGCTTGTTACAGCCCATCACCTACAGGGCACACTTGTCCTCAGGTACTCCCCATTCCTCACTCCAACCCGCTCCGCTCCCACCTGCTGTCACTAACCACTGGGCTCGGCCGGCCGAGCTCTGTAACTTTCCCGTGGCCCCTCTACTCTGCTTTTATCATGCTCATCCCGAGCCCCATCACCGTTACTCCATACTTATGACCCCCGATACCTTGACCCCTGCAGTTCCAGCATGCGATACTGACCAAACATGCCGAGGCCACGGGAGGCCGCGCCGGACGCGGGCATCAGGGGCCTGTGGGCTGAGTACATGGTCCGGCGCGGGGAGACCCGGCCGGGACTCGCGCCTCCTCAGC